AACCGTGCTGTCGCTGCAGCGCGGGCGTTTTCTGTCCTTCCAAACGAGCCCCAAATTCAGAACATGCCCCCCCCCGAAGAAACCATCGCAAGTGATTCCACATTGGGTTTCGATTTGCTGATTTTTGGGGCCGCAGAAGCCTCCCCTCCCACCAGTTTGGGGCGTCGTCGTCTTCAGCAACTATCAAGCGGGAACCCCGCTTCTGCTTGGAGAAGGCGATGTTGCAAGCAGAGCCAGCGGGTGCTCTCCATCAGCCCCGCCTTGTGGGAAGGTTTTCGGGGGTCCCAGGGAGGTAAACATGGAGCCGCGACTCCAGACCAGCCCAGACCCTGCGAAAACGATCCACTTATCCTCCAAGGAACCTGGCGCCATGCCATGACATGCTGCGCGGTGTTGTGTTCTGCGCGCTGTGTGATGCCATGCTTTGCGTTGCAATGCTTTGTGATGCAATGGTTCACTGCGCAATACCACGCCGTACTATGGCATGCTACGCTCTGCCGTGCCTTTTCTACTCCATGCCATGCCGTGCTCTACCATGCATCGCGTACCCTCTCGCGATCATTGCCCAGCTCGGCATCTTACTGTGCGAGTAGCGAGGACATGTACGCCATGGTAAGTGGTGGGAGGGAGTGGTAGGACGTCAGATATTACGCGAGCGCACCTAGCTTGTCCCCCCTTCATCCCCCCTCTTCCCCCTCCTCTCAATCATCCTGCTGTCCCCCCGTCATGTCGCCAGGATGGGCAGCGAGCGCGCGTGGCTCTACGTGGCCCCCACCCAGGAGGGGCCCGCCGCCAGCCCGCCGCGCGTACCTGCGCGTGCGGTCGGCGCCTGCCCCGTGGGGGGGGGATGTCCGTACGCACGTACATGCGCACATACATGCACACATGTAGACGTACACCTACAGACATACACACAGACATGTTGTGCGTATATGCTTACAGCTACCTGCGCCCTGTCTCCCCAATTAGGGCTACCCGCGTCCCGTTTAGCTCTTGACCGGAATGGGCCCGCTCCCGACCCGCAGACCAAACATGTTTACAGCTACCTACAGATGTGTTTGCGAGACACTACGTATACAGGTGTTTATAAGTATACGCTTGCGTATATGCACAGCTATGTGTCTACATGCGTATGTATATATTTATGTATGCAGGTATGTGTGCATGTACGTATGTATGTATGTATGTATGTGTGTGTATGTATGTATGTATGTATGTATGTATGTATGTATGTATGTATGTATGTATGTATGTATGTATGTATGTATACATCGATGGCGCATTCCGGAAAATGCCGCCGCTTTCGATTATTTCTGGCGGAAAGCGGCAGACACCGACGGATCTACGCATCAGCTTTCTAAGACATGCAGTTATTATATCAGGACTTCTGTGTTCGTTATCATGCACACATAGAGGCGGCTGTACCATAAGGCTACAAACACCTTAATACACATGTGTACGGATGTTTACATGTAATCACAAACGCACAGATGTATACTAATGTATGGCCACAAATCCAACACGTGTACATGTGTACCCCACTATATATATTCAGATGTGTGTGTATGTATGTATGTATGTATGTGTGTATGTATGTATGCATGCATATATATGTTTGGATATGAGTAACTATTTGTAGATGTGCATATACGTATGTATACATATGTGTGTATGTGTGTATGTATGTGTGTATGTATGTATGTATGTATGTATGTATGTATGTATGCATGCATGCATGCATGCATGCATGCATGCAGGTGTGCGTGTAGATATGTGTGCATCTATGTATGCATATATGTACGTGTGTGTGTGTATGTATGTATGTATGCATGCATGTATGCATGCATGCGTGCATGTATGCATGTATGTGTATATATATGTAGGTATATATATATATACACCTACATATAGAATGGATCGCCTTCGGCCCATCCCGCAACCGCGCCTGGGTTGTAGGTCATAGGCCTCTAGGATGTTCGTTGGGGTGTTGCCGGGGACCTCTCGGCGACTGTTTGGAGACCTCGTGGGAACCGTTTTGGGCCCTCTTGGGGCGTATTGGGGGCATCTCGGGGGTCTTGGGGCTATTTTGGGGTTGTCTAGGGGCCTGTTGGGGTCTCTTGGGAGTCTCTTGAGTGCCTGTTTGGGCCTCCTGGGGTTCTCTTGGGGCCGAAGACTCGAAATCTCCGTTCGTGTTCCCCCTCTGGGGCCTCTCTTCGGGCAATTTTGGGGCTCTCTTGGGCCGTTTTGGGGCCCTCTTGGATCCTCTTGGGGCCCCTTTGGGCCGTCTTGGGATCCTTTTTGGGGCCTCTCGGGGCGAACTGGGGGGGCCTCTTGGGCCGATCTTGGGGGCCTCCTGGGCCTTCTCGGACGCTATGAAAGCGTGTGCGTATTCCTCAGGGAATGGTCTGATTTTTGCTTCTGGGGCTCTCTTGGGGAGTGCCCTTGGAGCTCTCTTGGGGCGTACTGTGGGCCTCTTGGGCTGTCTTGGGGCCACACAGTGGGCCATCTTGAAGCTGTCTTGGACTGCTCTGGGGATCAGTGTAGCCATCTGGAGCGGTTCTCGAGACCCGAGGGAGTTCGGGAGGTCGTCTGCTGAGTAGCCCGCAGGAGCTCCCGGGAGCTCCTGGAAGCTCCCGGAGATCTCCCAGGGATCCCTGGGAATTCCCGGAACACTGGGGTCTAGGCCCTGAAGAACTTTTCGGGGGCGGAAAAGAGGGGGGTGATGACTAGGGGGGGTGGATATCATGGCGGGGGCCATGATATTTCCTCAGATTTCATGGCGCCTCTTCTTGTCTCATTACGTCCCCAGCCCCCCCCCGCTGGGCCGCGCACGTGCCGCCGGCCATGATTTGCACCACCCCTCTTGGACACCCCCTTCTTGGGCACCCCCCCCTCTTGGACACCCCTCTGCCCCTCGGGCGCAGGGCTCGCCACGGTGGTTCGCGTTCCCCGATCGGGCAGCGGTGGGGAGCCTCTCGTTGTCGCACCTCCTCCTTCCTCCGCCGCCTCGCGTTTTCCTTCCCCTTTCTGTCCTCCCCGCTCCCTGCCCCCTCCTCTCGCCTCTTTTTTCCTCCTGCCCCCCCCCCCTGTGGCCCTTCCCGTCTCCTCCTTTCCCGCGCTCTCATCCTCCCTCTTCCTCCATTCACTCTTTCGCCAACGCTTCCCTCCTCTCTTGTCCCTCCTTCCACCTGTTCCCTCCTCACCTCTTCCTCCGTGCGTCCGCCCTGGCTCCCTAACATCCTCTTTCTGCCCTTCTCCTTCTCTCCACTACTTTCTTCCGTCTTCCCGTCCATTTCGTCACTTCTTCTTCCGTTTTCGTCTCCATCCTCTCTTTCTTTCTTTATCGCTTCATAAGTTCCATATCTTGCTCCAGGGAACGCCCTTGCACATGATGCTGTCGAAGAAGCATCGCGCACTCAACATGTTCTCGTAACGTTTCAAGAGCTGAGCCAACTACACGTAGCTCCATGTCCAAAGCTGCCCCCCGCTGCCGCCTCTCCCCACCGCATGCCCACTCCCCGCCCCCCAGGCGCGGGGCATGGCGGGGGGAGGAGGAGGAGGAGGAGGAGGAGGAGGAGGAGGAGGAGGAGGAGGGGGGAGGATGAGGAGGAGGAGAAGGAGGAGGAGGAGGAGGAGGAATAGGAGGAGGAGGAGGACGAGGAGGGAGGGTGGAAGAGGATAATAATAATAATAATAATAATAATAAAATAATAATAATAATAATAATAATAATAATAATAATAATAAAATAATAGAAGAAGAAGAGGGAGAGAAGAAGGAGGAGGAGGAGGAGGAGGAGAATAATAGTAATACTAAGAAGAATAATAGTAATAAGAAGAATAATAAGAAGAAAAAGAGGAGGAGGAGGAGGAGGAGGAGGAGGAGGAGGAGGAGGAGGAGGAGGAGGAGGAGGAGGAGGAGGAGGAGGAGGAGGAGGACCAGTGTAAACCCAAGAGTCATCAACGATGTTGGAGGAAACCCTCCCTCCAAGCTCCCTCTTCATAGGCCCCTACACCGGTGAATTTCCATTGATGGAACTGCCTCGTTGGAAGACACCCGTTTGAAGACCTTCGGGATTTCAACGCCCCGGATCACCTGGATAGTTGCGTCTTGACGGTCCTGAATCGTGCCAGAACGCTATTCCTAGGACTACAACACAGAGAACGAACGTAACTGTTGCACCCGCATAATCCTGAATCCGTCCAGAACACCAATTTCTGGTACGTTGATGATGGGAATCCGTGAAACTCTTGCAAATGCTTTTTCAAACGAATGTGCGTGGCGCTAAGGCGAGAGCCGCATTTTGAAAAAGGAGCTCCTTCAATCCGTGCAATTCTTGTAAGTTTTTAAAAGGAACGCGCGCCGCGCAAAGGCGAGAGCCAGCCACATTTTGAAAAACCACCCGCCTTCACTCAGAGAAACTATTGCAAACTTTTAAAACGAATGTGCGCCGCGCTAAGGCGAGATCCAGCCACATTAAAAAAACACCCGCCTTCAAACCGTGAAAATCTTGCAATTTTTGTTGAACGAATGTGTGCTGCGCTAGGGCGAGAGCCACATTTTGAAAACCACCCGCCCTCCATCTGTTAAGTTGTTGACAATTTTTACGCTTCATAGTCATAAGTGGTGAGGAAATCTCAGGCGAAACGCCCGGCCCGCCCTAAAAACTGGCCTCGGGGTGCGACAGGGAAAAGTTATTCATAAGGAAAAGGAGGAGGAGGAGGAGGAGGAGGAGGAGGAGGAGGAGGAGGAGGAGGAGGAGAAGGAGAAGGAGAAGGAGAAGGAGAAGGAGGAGGAGTACGGAGGAAAAACGGAAGACCAGGATGAAGTGGAAAACGAGGAGGTCGATGATGAAACATGCTCGCGAAGTTAGATGCGATCTGACCTCGGGAATTACTTATGAGCATGTCCTACGATAATTACCAGCTGAGGGTGGCTTCTTGTTGGCTGCAATATCTGTGCTGGGCTGTAGCCGTCGGTAGCTGGTTCAAGCTCGTACGATGGAGTGCTGGGACAGCCTTCGCAGCGTGTTTCATCTGGCAGAAGCTGACCCCAGGTCGGTGTACTACGTTCTGCAAGCCTTATCGTACCTCGCTGTCTACTCAGCAGTCCTCGTCGGAAGTGGCGTCTCATTGTGGCGTCTGGGCAGCACTTTGAGCAATTGCGCGCTGCGTCCGACTCTCGTACCCCACAGGCTGTTCTTCTTCGTGCTGCGACACCTCGGGTATCCGTCGGGATGCCTACTAATCCCATCTTTCTTGCTTGCAGCGGCATATCCTGAGTGCTTTGGAGCGAGGCTGTTGGCCGCTGTCTGCGCCACTACGTTCCACCTCAGCGATTGCAGCCGGACCGGAGCTCACAACGGATACGGGTGGACCAACGCGTATTCTCAGCGGCAACGTTAAGGGAGGATAGGCTCAGCGGGGGATGCATCGACCCCCAATCTCGCCCATGCATCGCCGATTGGGCCTGATAGCCTTGTGGACGACGATCAATGGAGGGGAAGCATGTTGCTAAATAGTTTCCAGATGACTATTTTGAAAAAGCATAGGTTATATGTTAAATCATGTCTTAAACATATTGAAACGTGTTTCCGACATTTTATTTACATGTTGTACTTCAGTGATAGGGTTGTTAGCGTGTCCATTGTCATGGCATCCACAATGATAGCCCATCCTGCCCAGGAACGTGCGGATTCGCTATCGGGAGCCCATCGCTGATCCGTCGGCGCTGTAGATCGCCGATTCCAGCTCGCTGTTTTCGCCCCTTAGCTGGTCCCTCCCTATCGTGGGTGGACACAACCCCCACCCTGGTACGGCGTTTAGTGAATTGTCCGTTTTCGGTTCTCGAGAGGGTGCCGCGGCCGTCATTTTCCAGGCTTGCGCCCGCCAGGTTTGGGCCCGAGGTCGTTTTCACTAAACCGCGTTTTTCTAAAGGGGGTTTTGTCCATCGCCGACCCTGACGTTGCCCCTCATACTCGTACTCGTTCACCCTCCTACTCCCCCTCCCCTTCTGAGGAGGCGAAGGGAAAGGAGGGGTATGTCGGCAGCGCACACAGGGGGGAATTGAGAGGGGGCAGGCCTTCTCAGCAGGCGGCGGGACTTCTCAGAAGCCCTCTGGCCTCTGAGCAGCCGTCTCCGTCTTCGGAGAAGGCTTGACAGGCTTCTGAGAAAGCCCGCCCCCTTTTTATTCCCCCCCTGGGCTCGCCGCCTAGTACGATCCTGTGTCGGAGGGGGCCGACTGTACACCCACAGTAGGGGTCCTGAAGAAGGAATACTTTTCGTTGGGGAGGGGCTCCGCGTTCCTTGATAGTTTCACAGCTTGCCTCAGGTTTTCCCAAGGTTTTCGATGGGGAGTCGAAGTTTAACTTATGGAAAAAAAGGCCTCGTTCCTTATTTAGGGTTCCTGAGGTCAACGCCCCGACGGTACAGTTGGTGCCCACCTACTACGTGATCTCAGGAGGCGAGAAAAACATACAGACACAAGTGGTCGTCGACTCCCAGGAAAAGATTGGAACATGTGGGGAGTGGGGGGAAACGAACACCAGAACATGTGGGAGCGTATGGGGAATACTGTGGATCTGTGTCTATTTATTGGCGTGTCCCTGGGCTCCTTGAAGTTCGCCCCCAGCAGGATACCTGATGCTGTGGAACGTGTGGGCGTTCTGCGTCCTCCCCGTGCGGCTCAGCCTCGGGCTTGCCTTCGGCGCCGCGACGTGGTTCATTCTGTCGAGCGGCCTCTCGAAGCTCTGGGTTGGCGGCGCTGGCTGGTGCTACCCAGAGACCATGCGCGAAGGACAAACAGCTGCACAGGCACACATGTTCGGAGGTCCGCGCTGACCTCCGAAGGTTGATGCTTGTGCGTTGTTTTCTCCTTCTCGCCATGCGCTACATACTGTCGTCCTTTGTGTACAAGACTCCCAAGGCGGGAGGTCCGGTCTTGAACTGCCTCTCTCGTCTTATCATACGGTCTGATGTCCTGTGTGGTGCACTGGGAGCGGCAACGGTCATGTTCGAGGTCTTGTACGTTCCCAGTGTGGCAGCCTTCGCGCCCAGGGGGCTTCAGATCATAACGGCATATCTCATGGTATTGCTGCACATCGGAATCGCCTTAGTCCACAGCAGTGCGATCGGAGTCTTCTTTCTTCCCAACGTGGCAAGCTACGTCGTAGGATTCTACGACTTTAGCGATGACCCGTTGTTCGTAAGATCTGCACCTGCAGCTGGCGATTGGACACCTTTCGAAGGATACTGCTGGTTCGTCGGTGTTCTCCTCAACGTCGCAGCCGTGCTGTACACGGCTTGGTCGCGGAAGCTGATAGTTGAGGATTGGCCTCTCACAACCATGGCATTGTTCCCTTGGAGTGGACAGCAGTGGCAGAATCTACACAACGCATTTGTTGAGGGTGACACGCGCGTGGTTGCTGTACCACCACATATTGGAGAGTGTATCAAGGATCGTGTAAGACAGCGTACTTCTGAAGGCGCTAGCGAGCTTGCATGCATCAGCGAGATATTTGTTGGCTCTCCTGTGGTGCCCATCGTAGGTGCAGCAAAACTGCGAGGCGATGAAGACGGCATCGTTACCATCGGCACCGGAAAGGCAAGTGGCAATGCCAGCATATCGTCTTTATGGGAGCGTATTCGCCACAGTATTCAGCTGCGCTTCCGCACATGTCCGCCACCGGGCTTGGGGGGGCCGCCTGGGGGCCGGGGGGAGGGGAGCAGAGGGGGTGGTCCCTGGGGCGTGCAATATATCGCCCTACGCTGCGTGGACGGCTAAGCACAGCAAGGCCGTGGCCTATCGAGTGAGCGCATGTTGGGTTCGAAGTCCCCGGGGGCCTTCAGTTTTGCCCCGCAGGCCACGAGCTTACACCCTGATGGTTGAAGACCCACGTAGAGGATAAAGAGAGAGCGTGTTGCGCTGCCTGCGCATATGGGAGACCTTACGGGAGACAATACGGGAGACCGTACGCCACAAGCCACCGGTCCTGGATCTGGAGATTCTCCAGATCCAGGATCGGTGGCTGCGAAGGCTGCGAAATCTACATCACCCTACGAGCGAAAGCGCGGCCTTGACGAGGTGGGCGCAAAGCAGTTTATGTTCAAGCGTCTTACTTTACTTCTTTTTTCCCTCCTTAGAGAGGCTCACATCTGCCTCAGAAGCAGTATAGGTAACCCTCTGACAGACAAGCTGCTTGGGGAACTATTGAAAAAAAAGCACAATGACCCGACGCGCACACACATACCAAACACTGCCAGCGCGGTGGCGGATGTTTGGGACTTCGCCGTTTGCGAAGGACTTGCGTGCTTACGCTATGTCCAAAGTTTTGAATAAGGACACTAATAAAAGCAGCACCTCAGATGCATTGCTTGCAGGAGAACAATCTCCATTGGACTGTGTCTACTTGTACGACATATGGACGCGAGTATTAGGTCCCACGTGCTACCAAGAAGAATTTATCCCTGCGCTTGAGACAGAGTTGTTCAAAGCTTCCGATGCGGGAAATACTGGACTCCCTATTCTGATTGCAGTTTTGCAGAATTGGCTTCTGAACTCCAAGCGGCTTGTGGAGGTCTCAAGTGAGAGGACTGTCCTTGATTGCGCCTTCGTCAAAGTTGACAGTGAGGACAAAGTCGAAAGGGTCGTGACGTGGGGAAGGATGTGTGACGTGCCGCAAACATCGTAGAACGTTGCCCATTTCATAGTGTGTTCTTTTCTGCAGAAGTTGCAGGTGATCAGTCTAAGCAATTAGGCCATACACTTGCTCATCATCTTATATGGTATCATGCGTGAGTTTTCAAGTCCTTGCAAGTAGCTGGTGCCACGAGCCGTTGACCACCTCTTCAGGGACTTCTAATCACGATGTCCTGCCAGTTCTTGGCGACAAATTTTCATGTGGCTTATCCACCACGCTCCGTTGTCGTAGGATTCGCCACAGCATCTTCAACGTTGCCATCGAGTCTGTTATGCAACAGTGCTCTACTGCCTCCCCCAGACGAGGCTGAGCCACCTCTCCCAACACTCGCTGATGCAGTCATCACTCTGGTTGGCCAAGCATTGCGCTGCTTCAATCACTAGTGCTTCATCGTATCACGCCATTGAGAATCACGCCATCGCCATCATCGTTCAGTCCGTGATGCAGCGTAGAGGCTTCCGTGACTCTTCGGTTCCAGTTTGCCCTGGCGTTTGGGGCCGCTTGTCCGGGGCCTTTCGAGTCAGATTCGACCCTTCCAGAAGGAGGAGGAGGAGGAGGAGGAGGAGGGAGGGAGGAGGAGGAGGAGGAGGAGGGGGAGGAGGAGGAGGAGGGGGAGGAGGAGGGAGGAGGAGGAGGAGATGGAGATGGAGAAGGAGGAGGAGAAGGGAGTTTGAGGAGCGTAAGGAGGACGGGACGGGGTAGGTTGAGGGCGGAGGCTGCGGGAGGGAGGTGGAAGACGTGAGTGATTGTGAAGGGGCAGGATGGGATGGCGGTGGTGGTGGTGGTGATGATGATGATGAGGAGGAGGAGGAGGGGCAGGCTGAATACTACTACTACTACTACTACTACTACTACTACTACTAATAATAATAATAAGAATAGTAAGAATACTAGTAGTAGTAATACTGATAACTACTACTACTACTACTACTACTACTACTACTACTACTACTACTACTACTACTACTACTACTACTACTACTACTACTACTACTACTACTACTACTACTACTACTACTACTACTACTACTACTACTACTACTACTACTACTACTACTACTACTACTACTACTACTACTACTACTACTACTACTACTACTACTACTACTACTACTACTACTACTACTACTACTACTACTACTACTACTACTACTACTACTACTACTACTACTACTACTACTACTACTACTACTAATAATAATAATAATAATGATCATAATAGTAATACTAATAATAAGAATAATAAGAGGAATAATGATAATACGAAGAAACGCAGAAGGCAGGCAAGGAGAGTGGAGGTATATGGCGGAGAGAGGAGGAGAACGGAAGGACGAGGAGGACGAAGAGCAGAGCCCTTCCCCCGCGCCCGAAGTTATCTTCCCCCGGTCGCTCCCTCTCCTCTTCTTCCATCCCCGATCCCTGCTCCCTCTGTCCCACCTTCCTTCCCCTTCTCCCTCTCTCTTTTCTCCACCCCGCCCTCTCTCTCTCTGTCTCTCTCTCTCTCTCTCTCCTCTTTCTGTCCTTTCGTCCCCCCTTCCCTCCCTTCATACTCTCGCCCTCCCGTGGCGCCACGTTGGCGTGTTTTCTCATTCCTCATCCTGCGTTCGCCTCCTTTTCATCCTCTGTTCACCTCCGGTCCCCTTCCGTATATGTACCCCCCTGTTCTAAATGTTTCTAAGAGTTACGCGGATGGACAGGTGTTGGATTTGAATATGCGGCTCTCGCGTTAGCACCTCGCACATTCGCTTCAAACGTTCCCAACAGGATTGAGGCCGACTCGTTTTCAAAAAGCGGTTCTCGCGTGATTCCCCCTCAGCAATTACACGGGTGGAGGGCTGTTCATTTTCAAGCTGGGGTTTTCGCTTGAGACTTCGCACGCTTCTTGATCACACTTTTGGAGCTATCGCTGGGCACTGCCTTGATGTTTACAATCCTACCTCGCTGCGATTCTTGTATTTAGATGGACGGAGGGTGGATTCTTTACAGAACTGGGTCTCTCCTGAGAGGCAGGCTAATGGGTATCTCGTCATTCAAGGGGGCGCTACCCGCTATGGAAACGAAACCTACAGGGATTCACGAGGGGGAGACTTGGGACTGGAGGGTGTATTGAAGCATCGTTGGCGCATCCTGACCTTCTCCTGCCCGCTACTGCCTCCTGCATCCTCACGCTTCCTCCTCCCTCTTCTCTTGCCTCTTCCTCCTCCTCGTCGTCCTCCTCCTCCTCCGCCGCCCTTGTCCCCTCCTCGCTGCTCCCTGTGGCCACCATCCTCTGCCTCCTCCCCCCTCGTGCCTCTCCTCTCCCAGCGCGCAGCACGCGGGCGCTCGCCTGCTCTCGCTCCCGCGCCCTCCCCCCCAGCCGCAGGCGGAAGCGCCGGCGGCGAGCAGTCACGGTCGGGCTGCGGCCGCGACTAGATTCCCGGGCGCGCGCGGGGGCCGCGGATCAGGCGGCGGCGGGGGGGGCAGCAACCCAAGGGCGTCTGAGAGGCCAGGGCTCCCTCCCCCCCCCGAAGCGAGTCAGACTGCGGGGGGGTCCAAGGCGCACAGGGCTTTGCGAGCGCTCTCACGGGTGATCGTCTTTGTCGTTCGCTGTCTCGCCGGTCGGCGCGGGCCCTCGGCCGCTCCGAGGCTGCCGGGGCCAGCTGCGGACGGCCGGCCTCCTCCCCCCCCCCCTGCCTCCTCCTCCTCCTCCTCCTCCTCCTCCTCCTCCTCCTCCTCCTCCTCCTCCTCCTCCTCCTCCTCCTCCTCCTCCTCCTCCTCCTCCTCCTCCTCCTCCTCCTCCTCCGTCCGTAGCCATTTTGGCTCATGCCTGTCCCCCGCTTTCCGCAGCCCTTTCGCCGATGTTCCGTGCCTCGGCGGCGGCGGCTCCGGAAGCTGGCACGACATGAGGATGGCTACGGGAGAGGCGGTCCTGCGCGGCGCGGCGGGCGCTCGTGTGGCGGCAGACCGCCTCGTGTCCCGGCTCAGCCGCGAGCTGGCCGAGGCAAAGCAGCGGTGCGCGGCCCTGGAAGCGGAGTTGGCGGCGCGTGCGGGCTCCGGATCCACGGTGGCCGCCGAGGTGGAGCGCCGTGAGGCGATTGCTCGACCGGCGTTGGTTGCACGACTTCAGGGCTGCAGCGTACCCCATGGAGGTCGCCTACGCAGGAACGTGGCGCTGCATTCGCTGGAGTGCCCGCCCGCCTCGGCGCCGCTGGCGAGCTGGCGGCGGGCGCAGCGCGGGCAGCGGCTCGGCTCGACGGACGTCGTCACTCAGCCGTCCCTTCGAGCTGACGCCCCGCCTTTCTGCCCCGGTTTGGGCCGCTGGGAGGTCCTCCCCCCGCCGACGGCGCTGGGCTGGCTCTGCACATGCGGCGCGACCCTCTTCGGCGACTCCGCCGCGGGCGCCCCTTCTTACCACGAAGACGGTCAAGATGATGGTTTCGCCGAGCTTGCTGAGCGCGGTGACGTGCATCTTCACCGTCGTCTGGCTGATATTCCCCTCGACGTTCGTGCATCTTGCGTCCCTGATCCTGGTGTACGCCCTGGTCTTGTACGTGGTGCTGAGTGGTGGCAGGCCCGTCAAGCCATTGCCAACACATGGCTTGTCCAAGATGCAGGCGATGATCGAGGAGCAGCTGCGCCTCGTCGTGATTCCGAGCCCGCCGTGGAGACCGTCGGCGAGCTGAGGGGTGATCAGGCTGCAGCTGTTGCAGGATGGGAGTTCAGCACTGCAAGGGCGCGGCTCCTCCGCGACGCCGACGCCCTGAGATGTCCCACACCACGTTCTGCAGTCGCCACGGGGCCGCCCATCGACTGGAGCGCCATCGCGGCCCCCTCCGAGGCGGCCGTGGCCGCGCAGACAGCACCAGCGGAGGCGTCGGCCGATTGCAACCAGAGTTGAATAGTGATCTGCGCTACGTGAATGCGTCAGACGCCGCGGTGTGCTGGGAGATTTTTCGCCTTCGTCGACGCGTCCTCGTTGGCCTTCGCGGAGGCGGTCCCCTTCGAGCGCAGCGCGGTCGGGGGGTCCTGGGGTCCTCAGGTGGACTCCAGGCCCCCCGCGGTTTCAGGATATCACATCGTGATGGCGTCCACTCCACTCCACTCCACTCCACTCCTCCTCCTCCTCCTCCTCCTCCTCCTCCTCCTCCTCCTCCTCCCCTCCTCCTCCTCCTCCTCCTCCTCCTCCTCCTCCTCCTCCTCCTCCTTCCTCCTCCTCCTCCTCCTACTCCTCCTCTCCTCCTCCTCCTCCTGCTCCTGCTCCCCTCCTCCGCCTCCTCCCCTCCTCCTCCTCCCTCCTCCGTCCTCCTCCTCCTCCTCCTCCTCCTCCCTTCCTCCTCCTCCTCCTCCGCCTCCTCCTCCTCCTCCGCCTCCTCCTCCTGCTCCTGCTCCTCCTCCGCCTCCTCCGCCTCCTCCTCCTCCTCCTCCCCCTCCTCGCCCTCCCCTCCTCGCCCTCCCCTCCTCGGGTCGCCTACGGCCGCGGAAAAAACTGTCCAGGTCGACACGCCGAACAAGAAAACGCTCACCGGATGATCCGCCGCTGCGCGCGAAGAGCGCCAGCTGCAGTTCGCTCCCCTGAGCCTCTTGGAGCCCACAGGCTTGAGCCATAAGCTTCGGGCGAAGAGAACTGTGCACATGCACCGATCCTGGCAAGGCCCATGCTTGACCCAGGATCGGTGCATATGCCTTCCTGGCCAAGGTAGGAGGGCGTATGCACCGATCCTGGGCTCAGGATGGGCCTGGCCAGAATCGGTGCATGTGCATGGCTCTTTTCTTCCTCTAAAGCTCCCCCCCCCTCGAACCTCTCCGCGCTCCCCCCACCTCTGTCGCCGCCCCCGCGCCCACCCCTGCCGCGACGGGGCGCCGACTCGCACCTCGCACCTCCCCCTCCGCCACCGCCACCGTCCCCGCCCCCGCCCGCCGCGAGATCCCGCCAAACATCCCGCCGGCCACCGGCTGGGAGGCCTCGGCGCCCCGTAGCCTGTCTCGCTCTTGCATTCTCTCTCTCTCCCTCT